AAGGGATGGCATGGCACCCCCACTTCAGCAGCCCAACTACCTGCATGCGAAGTCTAGCACTTTACAGTAGAGCAGCTTAACGAGAACCTATACCGCACACCCTCAGTTCCTACGCAGACTGATCCAAGTGGTCACCTACCCGTGCACTGTCCGTAACCAGTGATGCTTGACTTCCGTGATCTGCTGGGAACCGTTTCTTAACGATCAGTCCACTGCGGGAAGCAAAAATAAGTAACTTAATAATCGTAACTTCACTATACTTCGACTTTCACTATATTTTATTTTATATTTCATATCCGTCGTTGATCTGCCGACGCAATTTTGGGTTTGCGACTACTAATGTTTAGCTCCGTAGCCTTGTAATTTTGAACCCAATCTAGAAAACAAGGAAACTCCAGGATCAGAACCCCCAGAGGCATTGATTTGTTATGGGAACATAGAAGACTTTGTTACTCCACAGATTTAACGTGCATCAGTCACCATTTACTACACGGGGAGTCTTTGGCAGGCCTGGGATCGAACCCACGAACTCTTGGACATGGGCCCAGTGCCGACTTTCACTATAATTCTTCAGTGTGGGAGGAAGAATATCCTACGAGGAAAATTGAAAACATATGACATTTGGAATGAGCTATATTTCGTCAAACAAAAGGTCACCAGAGATCGAACAGGACAGAGAGCTGAGAAAAATTGATCATAAAACCGAAACGGAATGCCACCTAGATGTTATTGCATGGAGACGTCAAAAGGCTATCATGAAGAAAAAAAATACTTGAAGCCAAAAGAGAAACTTGGAATAATTTTCTCAATAAGATAGACTATCAAGTAGAAGGACAAAAAGTATATAGTTTGATCAACAACAAACGAACCCAAAATGTAAACTATCTAGTGGTTTTTGGAGACAAAGATATTCGAAATCCAAAGTTAATTGCTAAAAAATTCAACGACCTCTATTTAAACCAAACAACAAAAGAATAGTGAGAGGACACGGCTTAAAATAAAATTTTAAGAGAGAAATGTTTTAGATCTAATTTTAGTAAACGAATTCACAATTGCAGACTTCAACTAAGCAATTTTATTTTATTTTACAACCGCTCTTGCACGACCGACCCAAATCTGGGTTTACGACTACTTATGTTCAACACCGTAAGCTTGTAATTTTACACCTAATCTAGGAGACAAGAGAACTCCTACATCAAGCATTGGTAGAAATTTACCTTCGTGGAGGACTTTTTGATGAAACTAACCCACATTTACGTTACATGGAGAGGAACACCACGTGAACCTCCCACGGTTAGCCTGACGGCAAGGGAACTCTAACCCATGATCCGTCTACCAATGAGATTATTTTACTTCAGCACTGTAATCGGTGCATACCGGATGCGGAATTCGTATCAACCAGCCATGATTAGGCTTCGAATCTGGTAACTTCATTCGAAGGCGAACCCTCTATCCCCTGAGCCATCGCGGCTCAAGATAGAATTTGAATTGAAGATGGTTGTTGTTGTTGTAGTTAATTTACGTCGCACTAGAGTTGCACAAAGGGCTATTGGCGACGGAATTGAAGATGGATAACGTTATAATAAGTAGAAAAAATTTTACAAAGTATCTAAGTGTAATATTATATACACTGTAAAAAATCTGGGTAAATGTTTAACCAATACTTGGTGCAAAGTTTTTAATTGCACCATTAATTGCTAAATATGATCGAAAAATACGTTCATAGCACAATCGATTGCACCAAACTTTCGTACTATGAGAGGCACAAGCTTAAACTGCGACCGATAACTGTTGACTTATGGACGATTTTGTTGTTGTTTTGTAATCTCTTGCAAGTTGTCTTTGAAATCGTCTATTTTTTTTTCTACAGGTAAGTAAACGTCTCTTATTTATTTGCATTAATTACAGTTCATAATAAACGGTAAATACTGCAATCTTAAGCAGCACAGCTTTCCGCCAAATTTACTGATGGTGAAAATATTCTAGGTCCGTGTTTCAATTGCATTCTACCGAACAAAAACAATCGTGTGTACTTTCTGTTAGGATTAAAACTTTTCATCAATATGCTTATGTTTTGATTTTTATGTTCTATATTGCTCATTTTCATTTGTAAGGTCACATAATTACACGAATATTTGTCTATACATTCTTAAATACCTTTGTTGTTAGATTTTCAATACGAATTATACTCTGTTCAAATTAACACTAGAGGCAGTCGTTGTCATGGAAACTGGGTTTCTCTTTGGCGCACGAGGTAGGGAAAAAACAAAACAAGGAAAGTGCCCAATATTGGCGTTAAAGAAAGCAAAGTGTTATTTTTTTAATTAACCAAAAATCTTATTGAAATTTTGAACAAAATACTGACCAGAAAAAGATTTGTTTTGGTACATTTCGAAATACACTGATTTCTTTTTATAATTTTTTTTAAATGGATTTTCTTATTAATATTTTTTAACTAAGCGAAACAAATTTCAAATGAAACAAAGTATCGTATTTAAAAACTTAATATATGTATTTTTTTATTAAATCTAAATATAAAAAAACTTAGATGCTCATAGAAACTTTGCTTTCAATACTTATTTTTCCATGAATTGTTATTTTTTTTGCAGATTTATGTATATTAATTTCGCCCACATTTGTGTTTTGTGAGGGAGGGAAAAGACAACATAAGCATAAATCGAACGTTATAATGAATCATGAAAAACTTCACATGTATTTATAATATTTACATTTTTTTTAAATAATTTTTTAAAACTTTTATTTTAATTATAAAAGTAAATTTTTTTTTATTCCGAAATATATCTGCTTCTATGAAACAGAAGAACTTTAGTTATAAAGACAATCCTCACAAACAGTATGATGTGGAGTTTTAATACCATCGACATGAATACTGCTTGTGTGTTTATCAGCAGCCATACCCCGAACAGTGCAAAGCCTATTGATAAAAATAATTATTCTGCCGAAATTACCAGAATTCCAGAGGGTTATAAACAGTTTTTTTCAAACTACAAAAGTACTAGTTTCAAGAATAGCTTTGAGTGAATATTTGTACTTTTCTCATGAATGCTGGGTGATTTTTATAAATATGTAAAAAGTATAATATACTTAAATTTTAAGATTATTATTTTGCATAAAAATTATTACATTCGGTCTATGTATACAAACATCAAGGTGATTGTAAATGTATAAATTATGTTTGAATATTGATCTGGATCTGTATTTTTTTTGTTATTATTTCCAAGTTATGTCATTATTTTCACATTTCTTAATTTGCTTCAAATTAATTACTTCCCTAGGTCAATGTAATTAACATTGGAATGTTTCGTTAATAAGAGTTTGGGGGTTGACCAATTCAATGTTTGTCTTCTCTTTTGTATGAATTTTTATTTGTGAAAGAATTATTTCCCTTTTTAAATAATAAAATAATTTCAGAATACATAGTAATAAGAATTTGCTTCAGCTTAAATTCTTCTTTAAAACATTAGTCGTACTTTACTCTATAGCATCTGTTGGTGCTTTTACAAATAACATGTAAAAAAGAATTTTAATTTTATTTAATTTATATAATATTGCATTTTTAATTTTTTTCCTNTTTTTTCGTTTTTATATATTTAGGTAATTAAGTTATAATTTAATTTATATAAATTTGGTCCTCTACTTTGCATACTAAATAATAAAGAAAAGTTACACTAAAGTGTAACTGATCCATATTTGGTTTAATTAAATAACCCACTTATGATAGCACCTTTTCTCTTAATTTGGGATAAATAAAATATCAATTTATGATACAATTTTCTGTTTTTATTATAAATTATTAATAATGATTAGTTTTAATGATAACTTTCTCTGCTTTTTGGCTCTTTAAAAATGCTTGATGAATGTGCTCATGGTGCGTGGCGTTTTTAAAAAGTGCTTAAAGGTACTTATTTTCGGTTTCCGTTTTTTAAAAGCCCTTAAAGGTGCTTTTTTATTGGGTGTTTTTAAAAAGTGCTCAATTTTCTCTTTTCGAAAATGAGATTTTTTTTCTTTACCATGTCGATTTTCGCCACAGATTAAGCAAAAGCGTGCTTTTCACATTGTTCTATTCAACGTTTTAATAATTCATTTGACCACAATTCATTTTGGCTTAAATTCGGTCCGTAGCTTTTAAAGGCGCCAATCATTTTATATGTTTGATAAATTACTTTGAATTCCGCAAGTGAGCTAGGTTCGGTGAGATTATTGCACTCGCAGGTGCAACGCAGCTGCATTTGCATCTCAATTTCAGGCTTCAATTTCCACCCTCTGATATCGAACCGAAAAATATCTTTATCATTTTATAATGACAAATCTAATCAAGAAAGGAGTTTTTTTTGTTGTTAGAAACTAGTTATTTTATCATGATTATGTAAAGTCTTTGAAAATTATTTTGTATTTTGTTAATGTATATAGTGCTTAAAAAGTACTTAAAAGGTGCTTATTTTTTGTTGAAAATTTCTCTACACACCCTGGGTGCACCCTTACCCTGCTTTTTAGCTTCTAAAAAATACCTAATAATGGTGCAACCTTCCCCGCTTTTAGATCCCTTTAAAACATTTATTTTTGGTGAAACCTTTCCCTGCTTTTAGGTTTTTTTTTCTTCAAAATACCCATTTTTGGTGCAACCTTCTCCCATTATTTGGAGCTGGTGAAAACACCAATATATAGTAAAACTGATCACCATTTTATGTAGCCAGGAAATGAAAACCAAAGTTTAGCGCAATATAGCTCGAATTTTTTTTTACAACGTATTGAATTAAATTTCGTTGACCAACAGAAAATTACAGCAGAAAAGGTAGAAGATAGAATCTAAATGATATACGATACAACATGTATGTTAAACCCATAATCAAATACGGTAGTGAGGCCTTGATCTCTGCGACAAAGAACAGTAATGACGTATTAGAAAAGACTCAAAGACTTGTAATCAAAACTACCCTATTTGAAGAGAACTAATGCTATGCAAGAAACAAAAGCCTTACATTGCACATCTAAAGTCGTTTCTGTTTCCATCAACTTTTTCGGAAGGGCAGGGTTAGTAGCTCGACACACCAGCAACCGGCCGTTGTCAGCCCACGTGGGAGTGAAGTGAAGTGCGCTCAACGTTACGTTACCGTCGTCGGCCAAAAGTTCGGAGCTCCCTTCCAGTTTCTTCCCGTCGATCCACCAGGATGTGAGTGCCCGAGGTCTCGATCCTCTCGTCTGGCAGACGACTCCTTGCTCTTCGCCAGCCCTGATGAATTTTTCTGGAAGAATTATTTTCACTTCTTGAGGAGCCACTGAAATGCAATAGAACTAATATCATTGATAGCTAATAATATTGCATTAATGCAATAGAACTAATTATTATGCATTTTATAACTTAATGATGTATGAACTGAATACCATTAGTACTCAAGAAAGCATTATATTAAATGAATACCCGTGATTTGTACTGGGGGAAAAAAAATTAAGTAATCTATAAATCGGATCAACATTAAGAAATCAAGCACAAAACTTAAAGACTAACAGAATTTATTAGCTGAAACAGTTATTTTTCTATATATGTTACTGTGAATGAACTAAACAGGTGGTTATGGTCATCCACTGGTGAATGTTGACAATCACATAGTCGCTTTGGTAAATGTTCGAAATATAACTATGTCTAGTTAAGTGCCACTGCCCGGTATGCCCTACGTCAATGTTTTTTTAAAAGATCAGTGCCCCTTCTCGGTGTGCATTTGTCCGGTATGTCTTACATCAATATTTTAAGATCAAATACCACTGCCCAGCATGCATTTAACCGATTCTCTGAGCAATAATGTTTCTGCTGATCTCTCCTCAGCAGATATTAAAATATCGAATAAGTTAAATAATTTCAATGGATAAATTAATATCATATCGGATATAACGAATATGTCGGATAGTCACTAAAGCGACTATGTAATTGTTGACATTCATTGGTGAAAGTCGACATTCTCTTGCTTTCAGACATTCGCGGTGACATACGTATTACAAGCTGAATTCCGTTTCTTCGTGCAAAAAAAGAATAAATAAATCAGTACTAAAGTGAACAACATTACAAAATCATACTCAAATTTGAAAGAAAAATACCGGCAAAAATAATAAAGCTAAAATAATTCCAACGTTTTTATTTATTATTATTTGTTGCCCTTCACAGTGACTTTACATTATTAGATTAAGCAAAACCTGTATTTGCCGCTGTGGTAGGCACCGAAATTACTCATAAAATACTTTGTACGCATGAGTACATTTGGTACAGATCAAAACTGCAATAATTCCAATAGTGCCTATTACCGAAAATAAGCATCATTGATGCCAACAATAGTATGGCGATTTGTTACTTTCTCCATTACAAATAAATGCATTTTCTCTAGCAATTTTAGTTTTTAGTAAATAGCTTATTTTTTTAATTCAATTAGTACCAATAACCGTGGTAGCTTACGGGATAGGGAGTTCGCCTTGTAATGAGGTGACCCGGGTTCCAATCCCAGCGATGGCTGGTCAATACGAATTCCACATATGGCTTGCACCGACCACAGCGCTGACGTAAAATATCTTCAGTAGTCGACTGATAATGAGTTATAGACCTCGGGAGATTTTCGTGGTCTTTTTCTCCCTGTAACGCAAATGTGGACTGCTACCTTCATAAGTACTCCACGAAGGCAAGATGTCTCTCAATACTTGATCCAGGAGTTCCCTTGTCTTCTGGATTGGGCTCAAAATTACAAGACTACGGCGTTGAGCATTGGGAGTCGTAAACTCAAAATTTAGTTGGCTGTTCAACGACGGTTATAAAATAAAATACTTTGTACCTATTGCCGAAACTAATTTAGTCTCATTTTTGTCAATTAATGGTTAGTTTTTACGGTTCTCCCAAACAGCTCCAGGTTCAGTTGATTCCAAATAAAAGTTCCATATTTAGCTGATTCCAGATAAATGCTCCATATTAAGGATTTGAGGATGCAAATGAATCTTAAGATTTATCGGCAATAAATACGTAAAATAAAGAGAGTAAAAAAATTAATTGCAAGTTCCCAAGAAAAATAATTTTGACCAAGATTATGTCAATAATATTTTTATTATTAAAACTTAAAAATTATTTGAAAAGCATAAAAATGTCTCTGTGTACATTATTCACTTTGAAATAATTAATTGTATCGCATATTTAAATGCAAAAAAAAAATTATCCAAAAAAGAATCATTATTCATCCCAAATTTTTCTAAAGATTTGCATTTAACGTATAATAAATTCACGGTTTTAAAAATGAAAGCGTGTTGTTAAAATTCCTTTAAACACAAAAATAAAAGCACAGGAAGTTATGCCTTTCAAGCATTTCCAGAGCATCTGTTTTTTCCCTTACAAAAATAACTAAACAATATCTCTCGTTTACAGAAGGCATCTTAAATGTTTTACAAGTAACGCCAAACCTTATTTATATGCTGAGGAAAAAAAATAAGGTTAAAAATGATTTTTTTTTCTGCCCTTTCGCGGAATAGCTATTATGTTTTAAATTACACAGATTTCTTTAGAATTCCATGAGTATAAATTTCTCAACACACCCTTCGAAATAAGAATATTTAAATACAGTAGGACCTCGATAGTACGAAGTAATGGTGATCAAACTTACTTTCGATAAACGAAATATTTGGATAATGGAAAAAACAACATTGTTTTCTCAATCTAATCTATAAATCATAAAAATCGAATTTATTTTTTAATAAACTGCTAGAGGTATATTATTTAAGTTTAATTTTATTCGTCCATTTCTTAAATGCTGTTCTCGTAGTAGACCAAAGAAAAACAAAATCAAGACAACATTTAACATATATTTGTTAATGTGAACGACTGACATTTGTGGTTGTTGACTTCCTCCGGTGAATGTTAGCAATCACATAGTTGCTTTGGTAAATGTCACTGCCCGGTATGCGCTACATCAATGTAAGAAAACAAGTATTTTTGAACACCCTCTACCAGAAAATCAAGTTATAAGCTTGTAATTTGTATCGATTAATTAGTTCATATTTTTAATAACTACATTAAGTTTCGTAAATCTGGAGTATATATTTGTATTATGCTTTTATAAAAAATTTATTCGTTCGTCTCTTTTTTTTGTTATAACTTTATAAATATTCAGTGGAATTAAACAAAAATTTTGGAGCATTTTAAATTTAATCAAAAAATTGTTGATCTAAAATTTAAAAAAAAGAAATTCGTTAAAAACTGAGTAAGAGTGATGAAAACTCAGTGATAAAACTGAGTATTTAAGCTTCTTCTTTTACACTGCGCATGCGCAGAAAAAAAGTAAAAACCTTTTTTTTTCTTCGTAATTTTGTAGTGAATCGTACTTAGCAACTAATAAAAAAAGTTTGATTTAAATATTTTACTTAAAAATATAAAAAATTTCAGTTAATTTTCTAAGTAGTTTTTGAACTTTTTCAAATAAAACTCAAAACGATGAGGGGTTTTCTACCAATTTCATCTTGTACTATTAAATAAAATTTATTAAAAATAAGAATGTTATTGTGGGGTATCACCTAATCCCATAAAAGTATGTTTTCTTTCACTATACTATCAAATTTTGGATTCTGAACGGTTATTGTAAGGTATAATAATTGCCATTAAATGTTGTCTTACAACACAAAATAAAATTTGTGGAAGACCCCTGATTGTTTTTAGTTTCTTTTTTGAAGAGTACAAAAACTACTTAGAAAATTGCGCAAAAATTTTTAAAATTTTTAAGATATTCAAATCAAACTTTTTTCATTAGTTGCCAAATATGATTCATTACAAAATTAAGAAAATTTTTTTAAAATTTGTTTTACGCATGTGCAGTATAAAAGAAATAGCTTAAATAATCCTATCTTGCGTATTTAATCTCATAGCTTAAATACTATTCTTTTTGACAAATATTTTTAAAATTTCAGATCAACAATTTTGTAACTAATTTTAAATAACTCCAGAATTTTTGTTTTAATTTCATTGAATATTTATAAAGTTATAATAAAAAAAACGTGAGGCAAAAAAAAAACAATTTTTTTTATAAAAACTTTCAGATTTTCCATAAATATTTTAATCCAAGTTTGCGGAAGTTTATGCAGTTATTAAAAATAACAACTAAAGTGTTTTCTAATATTGTATCAATATGGCCGAAGCAAATAATATAAATAATCTAAATTAGAAACATATATTAGAAAGCACTCCTTTTTGCGGATATAACCGTATGACATTTTTTCCCGGATTTTATTAATTTTTTCTTTCCTTTTTTTTAAATATTTTTTTCTTCTCTTTTTCATTATTCTGTAACTTTGTCTATGTTTTCTTCAACTTATTTTATGAGTTCTATATACTTGCAGCTTATTCGTAGTAAATAATACTTATTGATTTTCTTAATTTGCTTGGTTTTTCTCATTTTTTTTTAATTTTTAGGATAGATGTAGATAGTCTGTTAAAATAAAAACTGTAGCCCTAAAGAAATTTAAAAAACATTTATTTATTTTGTTGTTAAATGGAGGAGGAAAACGAAATATAATCGGACGAAATATTTAGAAGAAATTTAACAAAGAAAGATTTGATTTATTTCAGACAGGCACAAAGCCATGTAAACAAACTAATTATTCAACAAAGTGTCCAAATCTCGATTTCAAATTCACAGAGCACGAAAAATTATAACGATATGAGTAAAATGCATAAAAAATAAAAATCTAAGCTAAATAAAAGACGCAGACAAAACAAAATTATATTTTAACTAATGCCATAAGGAGTTGTATTTAATTAACTTCACGTTAGTCAACATTTTAAAACTTATGTGTAGAGACTAAGCTATCGACATTTGTCAGCAATATCTAGAATACGCCCCTTTGCTTATAAGTATTCAGCTGGTGCTGGGGTCATAGGTCTGGTGGTTGTGTATCAACGGTTTACTTCTTCTTGAGTTGAGAGTATCCCATTGGCAGAAATCAGCAAGATATTATTTACAATTTAAAGCTTGTTGATTATAAATTCAATTATTTTTATGAAAAAAATGATTTTTATGAAAAAAATAGTAATTTTTACTTGATAAGTTTAGTATATATTTTTAGGAAGAGAAAAATAGATATTTATTTTAACTGTTGTTTTGGCTAGATTTGGATTATAGCCAAGTTGGTCACCAGGATNTATTTTTATGAAAAAAATGGATGAAAAAAATAGTAATTTTTACTTGATAAGTTTAATATATATTTTTATGAAGAAAAAAAAATCAATATTTATTTTAACTGTTGTTTTGGCTAGATTTGG